CAGATGAAAAGGTAAAAGTCAGTTATTAGATACAAGTTGGTGGTTTTCACGTCTTTTTCTAGAAAAATTTTAGATACAAGTTGGTGGTTTTCCCGTCTTTTTCTAGAACAATTACTAAACTATTGATGTTTATGTAAATGTATTAAGTTGGTAAACATTAACACATGAAAAGAAAACATACTTCAGCAATATAAAATAAAAATTTGAATTATTAAATAAAATTTAAGGGATACATTAAAAAAATATTTCGAAGCACTTCCGCAAAGGATTCGGTAAATGTAAACATTGCCAAAAATGGCGATAAAATTCAAAGCTGGTAACCCGGCGAATTGGTTTGTCGGAGGTAGCAACCTGGTTCGCTCTTAGAGAATATTTCTTGTCTGTTCGGGGCTCCGTTTTGCCGCTGGCTAGCGGTGCGTCACTACTGGGTGAGGTGGTGAAAATTGGCGATGAATATAACACGGCTTTTTAGAATAGTATGGCTGTGTTCTTACATAATTTTTAAAAGTCTTTAAACATGCAGAACCACAGGACTCCTAAAATATTATGATTAATGTGGGCCGCAATAATATACGTTTTAAATAATTTTTAATTTTATTTTTACCTAAAATAATAAGAATTAAATCAGTTTTCACGCTTAAAAATTTGATATTTTTAATGCATTTTTAAAAATTACTTTTCAGAGGATGCTAGGTGTTTATATACAACAGATGATTAGAATAAAAAAAAATATTGGTTATCTGATATGACAAAATACTTTTATATATTCCCAGGGTCATCAAATTTAGTAAACCATTGCTTTGAGTAATTAATCAAAGTTTGAATGAATCTTGAAAGATAACAAGATGCATAATGTTTATTCTAGTTTTATTTACAATGCTACTTTAAAGGATTTGAATATTATTCAAGATACTTGGCATTATAAAATTTATTATGAAAAAGACAATTGTTTCAAAATAAAATATTTTAAGCTATCACCAAGTAAATTCAAAAAACAACTTTTGCTTGTGTAAAATGAATGTTTTAAATGTATTATTTAGTAATGAATCCATTAATCTGTGAAATGTACAGTAGCACTAATTATTAAACATAATTTTGAGAATATCGACGAGCAAAGCACTTAATGAAAAAGACCCTTTTTACTAAAAATATTAGTATTCTGTATGAATGACAGAGAATATATGTAATGAATACCATGGCCAAATACCTATATGAAGAAAAAGAAACAAACAAACAGAAAAAGTAGTATTCTCTGCCTCGAAACTTGCAAAAGTAATCCTGCTATGCAACACATAGTTAATTTCCGATTACATGATATTGCAAGCATTTTCCTCAGATTTTTCCTACAACTGATTTGAATACTGGTAGTTTGATCTGGTTTCATATCATAGTTTAAGCCTGGTTGCATGGTTGATTTTTCTAGTTTTACTCATATGTAATGCAAATACAAGGCAGTTTCCCTTAGAAAGTTGTTCAAGACGGCATCTTTCTTCAGGTCCATAGCCGATATTCTTTGTCATATTCGAATAACCTAAACTTTCCTTCAAATAGTATAAAGATGTTTACTGTGGTTGATTTTAGATCCTTCTATACTTTGAACATGGGAACAATATGCAAGGATACCTGAATTTGTGTCGAATAAGAATAGTGAACAACATTCAACTCTCTTGGGGTTTCAAAAGGATATAATGCTACTTTCTTATATGGCTGAAAAGAACAAATGTGTTAACCTTTTGTCAACTATACATAATGATGACCATGTTGATGAAAGTATAGGAGATTTGAAGAAGTAATTACGTTTTATAACATGACAAAAGGAGCAGTTGATATAGTCGACGAAATGTGTGGCACTTATTCTGTGGCCAGAATATCAAACTGATGGGCATATTATTTTCGCTATTAAATATTGCCGGCATAAAATCAAGGATCTTGCTTTTATTCACTAAACTCCACCAGAGAAGTTTAGGAATAGGAGGCACTTCTGATTTGGCCTTTGCACTTTTAGATCCTCATTTGAAATCATAACAGAAACAGTAGGAATACAATGAAGATTCTCAAACACAGAAAAGAAAATTATGTTACCGGAGATGTTACATGTGCTCAAGAAAAAAGACAAAAAATCAAAAATTGTATGTGTGAAGTGTAAAAAAAAAAAATATGTTAAGAACACTGTGAAATAGAAGCTTCATGTATAAACTACAAAATATCTAATTCTTCTTGAGCCTAATTGAGTGGAAAATTAATTATACAACTTGTTGTCCATGTAATAATTCTGGAAAATTTGGATGATAATTGCATTCAAAAATAAAAAAACAAAAATTTCTCATAGAAATCAATGATTCCTAGTCATCTGAAGAAAATGTAAGTACTTTTACTTGTTATTAATTTTCAAATTGACATTATTTTTAAGTTATTTTATATAATAAATGTTGCAATTAATACAGAATGCATTATTTTACTGAATTGTAATATGTTTAATTGCGACGCACGTTCTCGTGTTAAATAATAATACATTGTGCGTTCTCCCGGGTTAACTATACACCGCTAAATGTCATTATCAACCTATTTATTTTACTTCTATATGCTAAATATCTTATAACTTGACTTGTACACCACTAAAATCATGGCTTCCATATGATAAAAAGCGGTGATTAATTTGATAAATATCTTGCAACTTAAATATACCAAAGAATGTCTAACAATACATATTCTTTGACTATACACCGATAAAATCATGGCCGATTAGCCGTTGGTGAGCTTGGCGAATAAATACGCATCGGTGCCAATGGATCCTTTGCGGAAGAAAACCCAAATATTTCTTCAAATTTTTCTGTGCTATTCTTTACTAGATGTACATAGCAATTTTTTACACTTAAAAAAAAAAAAAAAAAAAAAAAAAAAAAATCCCACAATTGCAAAGACTCAGCTTTGCGCAATTGTCAGCAATGGGAGCTATCAAGGAAATGTATTGGTAAAAATATATTTACGGGTACCACTTGGCTGTACATGGATACCGAATTTGTGCAATTCTTCAATTGGAAGCACTTCCGCAGAGAACCCGGTAAATGTAAGGTGATAATAGTTCAAACCTGGTAACCTATCGGATTCATCGTATTCGCTCGTTTGAAGGTTGCAGCCATTCCCCGGTTAATCTTTGGATCATGGTAACTTGGCGATTTTTTGGCAACCAACCCTGCTACAGCAACCTGCTAGATTTTTTTTTTGGACGCCATTTTGTTTTCACAAAGTAAAGACATTTTTTTTTTTTTTAAACTCAGCGTTTTTTCCAACAATCTGCTAGCCGAATTACACTTATGCTAGAACTTTTATGGAACAAAAATGCTTAATCATGATGAAGATTAGGTGCGAAATTGGGAGAAAGTGCAGAATCACAAACTGCTTGCCGCGTTTGTAAGAATTGCACATACACGGTATCATCCATGTACACGTCGACCTATTTTCACTTAAAAAAAATCCCAGAATTGCACAAAAATGGCATTGCGCTCTTGACTTTATCCATGTACACTACTAAAGTCCTAGCTAGTAACTTTTATCGCCTTACCAAAATGTCGCCAAACTACCTGTTACCATATTCCAAAGATTAGCCCAGGACACTTAAGAATGGTTATTAAGTAAATCTTCATTTACACACCAGTCAAATAATGCTCTTTTCCCCTTTCTTTCCAAATCGTACAGAAACTTCAAATTAATCTTATTACATTCAGCCATTTTACCATCTAAACCAGGAAACAAGCAATCCACTTCCTAACCAACATGCATGACAAGCCCTTACAAATTCACCACAATCATGCAACCGATTACGTCATAATAGGATCTCCATAACATTCAACTACTGAGGCTACCATAAATGAGACAGCAACTTGGTGATAAATGAAACAACAACTTCATGATAATACAAGGGGTACCCTTCCTCTACTCTAACCAATTTCTTCATTATTTCCTTTTGAAAATTTTCAGCAAAATTCTGTATTCCTACAGAAATTTTTCCATAGTTTCTTCCATTGCTGGCAAATTCTACAAGTCCATATTTTAACTCAGTTCAAGATAAAAGTATCACAATCTGTTTATAAAAACTATTAGAACTTTGAATACAACTGAAAAAGTAGCATAAAAAAATGGTGGCATTGTTTTGTTGAAGAATTGTTATGAGCATGGTTGCCAAAGTTTGGCACATTAGGAAAATTTGCAGTTTTCTACTAAAGCAGTTGCATTAATACACAAGTACCTTTTGGCAACCAATGTGTGACAGTTCTTCAGTTTTAACAGCTATTATTGCCATGTTTGTATACATTCTTTTCATTATATACAAATTCAATGTTTTTACAAATAAACAGCGATGTCCCTCCCCCCCCATCATAAATTCAAATAAAATTCACACATCTGCCAAACTATGCCAAGGTGGTTGTGCTAACATTACAAATTACAAATCGGAAAACCAGTAAAACAGCCATGCAACCAACACATTCATTGAAATTTGAACCATACTTGAACTACTAATATTCAGAAGTCTTACTCATTCGGCCACTTTTAGGCTTGAAAATAAGTAAATAATGGCCAAACATAGTAAATATAGAATAAGAAAGTTCAATAAAATATATTTTATCGAACTTTCTTAGATGTATAAAGAATGGTCAGTCACATCAATTAATTTACAAATGCTAACTGTAACTCATTCAGAATATTTTCTGGAGAGTTCTTATTTTTAGCTTGGAAAAAAAAATGCTAGTAATATAAAGTAAGTAGTCCGAAAGGAGTAGTATAAAGTAAGTAGTCCGAAAGGAGTAGTATAAAGTAAGTAGTCCGAAAGGAGTAGTATAAAGTAATGCAAAATATCCCCCCCCTCTTGCTAAACGTCATAGTTTAGACAAAGCCAAAGGCTTTGCTATATTGCGGTGGAATGCTATTATGAAACCATGAGATACCGATAATTTAGAAGAATCTACAGAAACACCTTGCACGAAAGAATAAGAATTTGTTACCTCCAAAACTTTTTGACAGGATTAGCTAAACATCCTGTACAATGAACTGTAATTGTACTACCACGCTGAGGTATATTTCCAGAACCAAAACGAAGTACCTCCTTGAATACTCCATCACTAACCTGTACAACATTTGACATCATTCAAAAAAATATTATTTTCCAATATAGAAGAGTCCTTTTATTAATGAAAGGAAGTGAAAACGCACAAAGCCGGTAAGCGTCAAACGCAACAGAGCATGCGTTTAAAATACGGACAAAGGAGACAGATGTCTTGTAGCAGATAAGTCTTTCTGCCTATAGGCTGCCTACAAGATTTCTGCTGCCAAAATATCAAGCAAAGCCCCTGGGTTTGGCCCCCAAGGTCAGCTACACCCCTGAGTATGAGATAAAAAGACTGCAAAAAAATAATTGTTTCAGAACCTTTTAATTATGATATTTTATTAAAATTTTCTTAATTTACATTTAACGTGTAATTTCTTCTTGTAGAAATATGAACTTCTTCGCTTACTTTATGCCATTGGCAGTAAGAAACAGTCAATCACGTGATTACTTTGTTTGTTTACTTGTCTAAAATACCACGGAGTAGTGAGTTATACGAAATGTCATCTAATGCTGGGAATTATTATTTCGTTATCGTAGGTTATTATGATAATCCAATTTTTGAAATGGAATTCTTCCCATCATCTAGGTCTGATGTTAAGGTGTGACTTTCGTAAAATATTCTGTGTTGATCTTAACTTACCTGCTTTATTTGTTTATTTATCATCTTGCTTGTGTTTTAATAAGTTTTATCATTTGTTTTCTAGAATTTCGTTACATGCCAGTTACTAAGTGGAAACATAAATTTTAAATTCAATTTAAAAATAAAGCTGTATTTAAACTGGCTTGTAAAATGTACTATTAATAACAAAGGGCATGCTTGATTTTTGGCATTAAATTTTCGCTCTAGAAATAAATTTTGTGCTGTACAGAAAGTTATAAAAAACAGCTTTTTTAGAATTTTTGACGTAGAATTACTTACATAGAATTCACCAAAAATAGGAAAATAAACCAGAGTTTAAAAATGAACGAGTAATAATAATTATAAAAATTTTGACAAAACATACACTTGTTATAGAGAAACAAATTTCCATGTTCCTAAGTAATAAAATCGGCATCTTTCGCAGAGTAAAATTACATTATTATTTTTGGTATTAAATTATTTGCTGGAATTGTAGAAACATGACGTTTAAAACTTATATTACCATTAATTATGGAGCAGTATGACTTGGAAAAAAGTGCCAATTTCTTATTTAGTTTTCCTTGTGTCCTTACGCTTTATAGGGGTGGGTTTCGGAATTATTATTGCTGCAGTTGCAAATGTCATGTTTACTTTAATGCAGATTTTCCATTGTCAGTGTATTTTTTTATATAGACTGTTCTGTACCGGGCAGGCCATGTCCAAAGTGGTTTTTAATAGTCAAAAAGGCTTTAGATTACTTTGAGACTTTTATCAGATAGTTCTAATGAAACAATTATCGATATCTGCCATTTGCCTCTAGTCGAAAGTGAATGTATAACTGATGAAAAAAGCTGTAAATGAGAATGCCTTCCAATGCATTACATCTGCAGATGTGTTTAGACAAACAAACATTTTCACATATCTGATGAAGATTCCATTGGAAACACAGATGATTCTGATACTCCTTTAACTGTGAGAGCAAAAAAAGTGAAAACAGTTGCCTCCTCAAAAAAGAACACATCAATTATTGCTAGAGCAAAACTACATCTTTCCAAAAAAATATTAGAACTGCAACTACTGAAAATATTAGTTAGATTTTCCCTGAGATGGTTGCTTTCTGTTTCCTATTCAAATTTTTTACAAATTTTTATTGATAGTTAATTTTATCTATCTGGTGAAAATAAGAGAACTATATGTCTTACAGAAAGGTGAAGGGCTGGATGTTGACAAAAGGATATAGGTGAGTTATTGTTGATTATGAATATTTAATCGATATCATAATTTACAAGATGAAGATTTTGCTGGAACATGCAAGAAGATCTCGTGATTCCATTTGCAACTCTAGTTACACCCAAGGTCCTTAAAATCAAGATGTTTTCACATGGGGCAACTGAGACATAGAGTGCATGTGTCAAGTCTGAACATCTGATGTCACAGGGACGCCAGATTCCCAGGTGAAAAATCTCAAGATAAAATGTACCTCTAGCAATTCACTTGTTTTCAGAGACAATTTCAGCTGCATTAGAAAGATGCAAGGCCTGGGTCCAATCCTAAATTATGTTGCAATTTAGTAAATTTTATTAAAAGAAGTAAATTTTTTTTTTTTTTTTTTTTTTTTTTTGTTTTTTTTTTGTTTTTTTTGTTTTTTTTTTTTTTTTTGTTGTTGCATTGTAAATAGTTATATTCTGGAAGTGTTTGGATTTCTTTTTAAAAGTGCATAAGAAAAGCATATATCAACTGAGGATGCAGCAATAGATATTGTTTGCAAAACTGAAAAACGTGAGATGCATTAGAAAAAGTCATTGCAGGTATTCTAATTTCTAGCACATCTTAAACATTTCATGGGAAAAAATGTATTTGAGTTTATTAGTGGCTGAATTTAATAGTTTATTAGTGGTTATTTGTGTATTCAGTGATATCAGTTTTAAGCTTTTCAAGCAAAATAATAACTAACGACTAATGCATTAATTAATCTAAAAATAATAATAAATTAATACTAAAATTAAACTATTTATGCATTTTTAAATTCATTTTAAAATCTTTCATAAAAATATTCTTATAATTACTTTCTTGACGAAATTTATCTCTTTCAAACAATATTTTTTCTGTGTTTCTTTCATATTGATCAGTAACAGTTTTTCAATTGTTTTCTCAATTTAATAAAATTGTTGATTGCTTTTTTTCAATTAGCATCTTTCAGTTTAAAAATTTTTCCTAATATTTATGTTTCTTTTCTAAATTCAATCGATGATAGGATGTCATCACATAATTCTGTATCAGTTTTGCTGTCAGTTTCTGCAGTTATTCTAATACATTTTTAGTCAGTTTCTGTACATGTCTCAATATTGTTGTGAATTGACACATAGTTTAAAAATGAATCTTCTTAACTTTCCTCACTGTTGGATGAAACATTAACTATAGTTTGCGATTTCTGAAAGGTTTCTTCTACATCAGGATTTCTTAAACTTTTTTCAGTCACAACCCCTTTTCATCACTGAGATTTTTTTGCGACCCCCAGGACCCTTAATATTTACAAAAATTTTATGGGGTCCCATAAGTCTGGCCCAAATCCAACACATGCGTGAGTGAAACTGTCAATTTTTTTCACTTGTACTGTAATATACGAGTACTATTGCAGTTTTAGGTCATTAACTTTAATTTCTTATTTTAAGACATAGAACAATGTGAAAATTTTAAATAAGTAACAGACGAAATGACAGCAGCGTCACGTGCAAAGCAATGATAATGAACGTTTATATTCTAAGAAGAATGCGTCGAAACGTTTTCATTTTTTTCTTTGTCTGTATTGTCTTATCTTTATTTATTTTCAGATACATTGTGTAAAAATATTTGGTTAATTATAGAATTAAAGAAATATCAAAACTGCTAAAATTTTTGGTGACACCCTGCTGCAGGTCCGGGGTTGTAACCCACAGTTTAAGAAACCCTGCTCTACATAAAAGGTACATTTTCAAAAATAGCTTTTAACTGATTTTATGAGATTAACTCCCCTGTATTGACTATAATATGCATGGCCTCTAGCAGAGATATCGATTTACGTCTCTCCTTCAAAGTGCAATCATTTTCCCAAAATTCAATTCTGTTCGTTATTTACCAAACATCTTACTGAAATGGCATATGAAAGTTTTTATAATACCCTAAAATTAAAGGTTGAGCTGTATTTGCAGGAAGAGACACTAATGTTTTTCAAAAAGAGATTAGAGATGTGTGTGCTGCACAGTTATCTAATTATTAAAGTAATTTTTTTTTTTTTTTTTTTTTTTTTTTTTTTCAGTTTGCTGTTACATTTTGTAAAAAATTCAGTAAAATATTATTTGTCATCCATGAGTTATTGACGCCTTGCAAACATCTAGATTTTCTGCTTTTATCAGTAACTAGTGCTGTCTTCCTAATTGTTGGGTCCATATTGCCCATTAATAACAACTTATTCTTTCAGTTTCATAAATCAAATGCTATTTCACTTTTAAATATTAATGTGTAGCTAAAAGTATATGTATGGGTGTCCCTTGGCCATTTTTAGCGGTACATGGACACCGAGTTCGTGCAATTTTTTCACTCGTTATTTTGGCTTTGTGTAGTGGAGATTTTTTGGCGCAAAAATCACCGCTATACTGATCTAAAATATCAAGTCAAAGAATTGCACAAACTCAGTATCCATGTACACATCCACCTATTTTCACTTAAAAAAATATCAGAGAATTGCACAAATTAGGCACTGCGCACTCCCTTGACTTTGTCCATGTACACATTGATCTATATTCACTTAAAAAGTCAAAGGAACAGCCAACAAAAAATATATAATCTCAATAAACTATATTTAAAATATAAAAAAAAAAGGAAAGGCGATGGTGGCCCACCTATTATGTGCCTCCATAATAAAGAGATCACCACATCCGGCATTGTATAGATTAATGGACTGGGTTACATTTGTAATTGTTCACAATTTGCCATTAGGAAAAATAAATAAATAAATAAAATAATGAAATAACATAAAAAAGGAATTCATCTTAGACCTACACGAAGGAAATATCAACTTACCTTATTTATGAATTTCCATGTCTTCAGTCAAACAAAATTCCTTAACAGCATCCAAAAATTTCTTAAAATTATCTGAACTAGAATCTGTGTACTGAAGTTGCCACATAAATTCACAAAGAGTCAAAAATATCCTCCGACGTTTGATTATACGCATTCCCTTCCTACAAACAGGTACACTTATAATGGCTACTAAGTAAACCTTCATTTACATACCATTCAATTAATGTTATTTTACCCTTAAGTTTCAAATCGTACATCAACTTCAAATTAATCGTACCACATACAGCCATTTTACCATCTAAGCATCAATACAAGCAACAAACATCCTAACCAACACACACTACAAGCACTTACAAATCTTTTCCCATCATTCAAATTGATTGCAATCACACAACCAATTACATCATAACAGAGTTTCCATAACATTAATACTCGTGGAACTATCTTTAACAAACCTGTTGGATTTTTGCATTTGCTGACGATTTTGACATAGTCGCACGCACTCCCGAGTCACTTAGAGAGGCTTTTACATCTCTAGAGGCTGCAGCCAGCAAAATGCATCTAGCAATCAACCAAAATAAAACTAAATACATGCCATGTGGTAATAACAGCAGTTTAAATGTAATTTAATGTAGTGTTAATGTTAATGTTATTTAAATGTAGTTTTTGAGTTGCAATTACCAAGAACATTAAAATCTTTCAACAGTTCAGCCTTTTCATTCAGACTTAAGTTTATTCGCTTGGCATTTTGTCATGTTGTGAGTTTAGCACACAACAAATAAAATATATATATATATATATATATATATATATATACTTAATATCTACTTAATATCAAACATAAACACTACTTAATATTAAACATAAACGTTTAGCACAAAATCTAAGGAGGCAGCAGCAACCATAATGGTACTTATAGTTTTATGGAAAGAAAGTGAACCTTGAATTAACAGTAATATGTCATATAATATAATGTAATATTTAATGTGTGCGATGCCGAATGTATGCAATTAACTGATTTTCTTTTAACTGAAAACAGATCGCTAATTCTCTACATGTACAAAATGATCTGTTTTCACTTACAAAACAGGCTTGGCATTTTCCGCAGTAAGCATCGCACAGCTGTTCAAGGTGAGATATAAACAGGTCACCAAAATTATACCATAACATGAGTGGAGATGTTTTGTTGTCAAAAAAAGTTTTTAACACCAAAAAATTACCACAAAAAGTGTGATGCAATGAGTAGTTATTTTTTCTACAGTACAATTGTAAAGAATAATTCCTCCACCATCACCACGGTGGCCATATTCACTTAATTAATTTCATCACAATTGGCATAAAAAATTAGGTTGTGACTTCAGTATGTAATAATTGTGTGTGTCTTTTATTAATCCAAGTATATAGTAAAATCTTCTGTTTGATGTATTTTAAAGATCAAATGAATTGGCAGCAACTGTTCAAGATTTTTCATTTGCTTCTTGCAGTTCCACATTAGCTGACATTTCCAGTTGTCTGACTGCTATTTAGTCTTTATGTAATTAAATCTTTACTACATTAATTAATAAACTTCTAATTGTACTCTCTCTTTTTTAGAAGGAAGATCATCGGCATTTAAGTCAGTTCATTGCTCATGCTGCTTTAGATCTGATTGATGAGCATATGTGGGTAACCAGTAATATGTATTTGAAAGTAGTGGATAAGTTCAATGAATGGTATGTCTCAGCTTTTGTCACAGCAAGCAGTATCCTTTATTCAAAATGCTTTTGCTATCACTTATCGATATTGATTTTATTTTCTATGCTGTATATTCTTCCATATTTATAATTGAACTATTCAATAAAATAAATATGGTTAAGCTGTGAAATGTTTTCTTCTTGTTCTTTTTTCAAAATTGATGTTGAGTGAACTGATATTATTTTCATGACCAATGTCAGTCTCGAGAGTTTAGTGGCATATTTGAATACTTAAATATAACTACATTTAATCTTTCTATTGCATTCTGTGCTGGATTTACTTAATAACATTGTTGTTTTTATAAAATGTGATGGGAAAAATGGAGTAATGTTTTAGAATTCAGGACAGACACCTAATTTAAGGCAAATATATTTATTTTTGATTATTTATCTTGTTAACCTATTTTTTATTTGAAATAAAAGAAATACTGTCTTCCATATAGTGAAATTTTAGCAAAGCAAACTTCTAGAATATTTAGTTAATCTTCGGATTATGGTAACTTGGCGATTTTTTGGCGAAACTTTGGCGATCAACCCTGCTACAGCAACCTGCAATTTTTTTTTTTTGGACGCCATTTTGTTTTCACGAAGTAAAGGTATGTTTTTTTTTTTAGTCCAAAGGGATTTCAGTCCCGAAGGACTATTGCTTTCGTTTTGGCATTTTGCGTCGGACTCATAAACGTCGGTTCACTTTTCAAACTGTTGCCACAAAATGTTAGAGTCCTGCATTATATTTGAAGAAATTAAATAATGAAAAATCTGCATAAATGATTGTCTATTTCTCGCATTGTGATAAAACAATGGTACATAGAGCCATCGAATTTTGAATGACGAAATCCTACTGCGAATATGGGCATCTGAAATCCCCAAATTTGGAATTTGTTTTATTATAGATTTTATATTTTGTAAAACTTTAACGAATTTTTGATTTACAAACTCAATGCTTTAAAAAGCGAGAAATTGCAACGTTATATATAAAAAAAAATACTTTTATCTCCAGCTCGCGAGACTGTGTATATCGGAAATTCTAAAGATATGCTTAATTTAACATTATTTTGCGATATTGCTCTTGAACTGAATTTTATGGTTTAAGTGGAAAGAACATGATATTTAATAAATAAAGGTAACACTCAAAACGTTAAAAAAACGCCCCTTTGGACGTAATTTAAAATCTGAAAAATTTCAGATTTTTTTTTTTTTTTTTTTTTTTTAACTCAACATTTTTTCCCAACAATCTGCTAGCCGAATTACGCTTATGCTAGAACTTTTATGGAACAAAAGTGCTTAATCATGATGAAGATTAGGTGCGAAATTGGGAGAAAGTGCAGAAACGCACATTGCTTGCCGCGTTTTTAAGAATTACACATACACAATATCATCCATGTACACGTTGACCTATTTTCACTTAAAAAAACGTCCCAGAATTGCACAAAAATGGCATTGCACACACTCTTGACTTTATCCATGTACACTGCTAAAGTCCTAACTAGTAACCTTTATCGCCTTACCAAAATGTCGCCAAACTACTTGTTACCATATTCCAAAGATTAGTTGAATATTTTGATGTAGTAAAGGTATCATAGTTATTGTAATTGAAATCATACATTCTGAATGTTTAATTAAAAAAAAATTAGCATTAAAAATATTTCTCATCTGTTTTGAATTGTTTGACATTAATTGACAAAAATGCTTGTTATTCTTATAGAATTGTTTTTCATTTCAAAACTTATGTTTGCAGAAAATATTTTGATTTTTAATATAATTTCAAAATTTAAATACCTATTATTATTAATGAAAATTTAACATTTAATTGGATGTGATAACTGAGCTAATCAACCATTAAAAGCATTCTGAAATATAGAAATATTTTGTTATTAGAAGGAGTCTTTTCCATTAATATGACAGCAACTAAAATGTGTACAAACATGCCAATGGTAGAAACCAACTATATACTATGACTTGCACCAGATATATTATAATTTATTATGTTTTAATCTAGACCCATTTTTCATACAAGATTTTGCCAAAAGAATCGATATGGATTTTATTGTTTGGCAATGGCCAAATGAAAAGGCGTGTGTTCTTAAATTCTTTTGAGAAAAAGAGTTATTCATAGTGGAAAACTTTGTTCAGTTAATCACAAGAAAGAAGTTGTGTTTTAACCTTTATGTAGCGCTGAAATAGTGCTGTAGCCTATAATCATCCCAAGAGAAGAAAGGGCTGCAAATCTCAAACTAGTTTGAAGGAATTATTCACTTCATGAAATTGTAATATTTTCATGAATTGTCATGTACAGATATGTTTTCAAGCAGTAATCATCTTTAGGATTTTCATTATTACAGCAGACTAAATTTTGCATCAGCATTTATGTTCAGTGATGATGCTGCTCTGTTAACATACCTTAATGACTCTTTTGTAATAATCAATGAGAAAACATTCAAAACTTTTTGTATATGTATGAAAATCTTCAGTTAATTTAGAAAATGTTTGATGATGATTATATTGTGTACAGAAATCTTCAGTTAATTTGGATAATGTTTGTTGATTGTATTTAAGTATAAAATTTTCTTATTCTTAATGTATTTTAGAAATGCGTTTTGTAATGCTTCATGATCAAAAAAATGAAGATGGAATCAAAAATTTTTTTCATGAAGTGTATGAAATTTACATTAAGGTAAGTAAACATTTTTGATACTTAGACTTTCCTTTTTTGAGTTGCCTAGTCAAAAGATATTATACAGTACAAAGTCCGTAATCCGGACTCATCGGGACTTCGGCGATTCCGGATTAGGTTGTTTTCTGGATTAGATCATCAATTTAAATCTGGTAAGATGGCATGCAGAAATAATACAATTAAAAATATGAAACCGTAATTTATGAAATAAAGAGCAATTATGATCTAAAGGGTATCAAAATTAAAAAAAAAAAAAAAAAAAAAAGCTTAATATTTATTTGTGTACTTTAGTAAACATTTCTATCAATGTAAGTTTGTTTTAAATAACGTTCTCTGTTATTTTATGCACTATCGGAAGCACACATGGATAAACGCTTTACTGGCTTTATGCACATGCGTAGCTGATGCGCGCATCAAATACGCATGCGTAAGTTTGTGGCTTTGAGGTCCGAATTATAGATCATTCCGGATAATGGACATCCAGATTAGAGACTTTGTACTGTATAGCATTGTTAATTAATCCATATAAAATACCATATTAAATGAAACAATAATGATGTCATTCTAACCCAGTTTCAAACCACTTCAGTTTGCAACTTTGGGACTTGGGGATAGTCTCAAACTTACAGCAAGTACAGTTGAATAAATCCATTCTTTTAGGTGCTTTTATGCACTGTTCAGAAAAGGTATGTCTTTCCACATTACATCATCAGGAGACAAACTAGGCTTAAATTCAGAAGGTATCTGAGAATTACATTCCTCCCCTCCCATTTTCTTATTTTCAATTAATATGTTTCTGTAGCTTGCATCTATAAAGGGATGACCCATTGCACTGGTCGCGAGACTCTTCCATCTTGTGTTTTGAGCCTAACGTTGCGAACTTTCATCTTAACTAGGAATCAGTTCAATAATATTTGCTGTAGGCCAAAACAACATGTTTTTATCATTGCCAATGACGGTTTTTCTTGGCATTGGTGAATAAGCTCACTAAGATATTCTTTTCTAAAAAGTTTTTTTAAATTGTTAAATTGTTTTCTTCAGTATCTTAATTTTTTATTAAATTCTTGGAAATCCAATACCTTAACATCCCTAACACTGGAACAGTGGTTTTTGATAAGAAACATGGTGGGTGTAAAAGGAATCAATTCTTGTGGATCTTCTGATATGTATGTTAATGGTCTACAGTAAATAATTTATTTGCTGTCCCAGTGCTAAAATTCACAGCATTGATTTCTTCCTCACTCATTACAGATTTACCTAAATTATGTTTTTGAAGTTCTTTTTCACAAGCTTCCCCACCAGGCTACAATGGATGGATAAATTTCTAAATTATTTTATGTGTGAAGCTCTTGCTAGATATTTTCTCCCAGTCTAATTTAGAAAGATAATTAAATAACCTTCTGAAATTGGATCCTTTATCACAGTAAATTGTGCTTGGCCTTCCTCATCAAGTAATAAACTGTGCAAATGGTAACAAAAGAGCATCCAAAGATAAAGAATTTACCAGTTCCAGATGAATGTTCAAAACACCATACAAGTAAATGATGCTATCCACACTTTTTCCTCAGTTTTCAAAAGCAATGGCCTGCCTAAATCTATACCTATAACTTCAAAAGTTACACAATCTGTAACTTAGTTTGATTGCAAAAGTGTAGGTTCATTTGAAAAATATTTAACAAACTGACATGTTATGCAATTTTATAAAATATTCTTAATTTTTTTCCCTAGCTTATCCAAAACCTTTCTCGTAATAAGATTTGCATTATTTGAATTCCAGCATGACAGTTATTCATATGTACAAATTTGATCAATAAACTAGTAAATTCACATTTGCCTGCCAACAATATTAGATAAAAATAGGAATTTGCATCATCTAGATGCAGTGAAATTTTAATTCTTATTCTTAAAGTATTCTTCTTATCTTTAAATGTAACAAAATTCAAAGATTTTTAGATCAGGTAAATAATAGCTTTGAGCTAAACAAATCAAACACTTTTCGGGTTGAGTAAAAAAAAAAAAAGTTCAGACTTTTTTTATATTTGACACAAGTTTGTTGACAATTATGTACAAATCTTAAAACCCAAACAAGTACTGTAATTAATTCACTGATATGTTGTTTAAATACAAAAAGGGTGCATCTTTCACCAAATCAGTTTAAACAATTTTAATTTTTTTTTTTCTTTCTTCGTCTACTTCTTTAGGCTGACTATCAGTTTTGCTGACATGCCAACATTTAGGGTTTTCTTTTGACCACGAAAGTCCCTCGCACCGCTTGGAAACAGTCATGGTTCAAGCAGAAGAGCCACATGATAGTAAATCAGCAATATTCATACTCTGCAGAGCATGCATCCATGCTAGGGTTTGACAAGTGACAAATTTCTTTACAATTGATTATGAAAATTGATCAATTTTCCAGCTGTTTTATCCACTAAATGGCTGTCTTAAAATCAGACCAAAGTGTTAGTTTAAAATTTGTTAGACCAAGCGCTTTGGTACTAGAATTCATGTCTAGCACCTAAGTCTAAAAAAGTCTAGTCTGCTAAAAGCCATAAACTCCAAACAGGGCATAGACAAGAATTAAAGAAAAACTACTCTAGACATTTCTCAAACAAGAACTACCTCCATGCTTATAAAATAAAGAGGGTGCACTTTTTAACTTTTTAAACTGTTTATTTCTAATCATAGAATATTATATATTACAGGTAACTGCAATACCAGCAAAAGACTATTATTACATGTATTGAAAAGTGTTGCCATTCACAAGCTACTAAACACTAAATGTTAAATATTGCCATTTACAAATTCCTAAATATTAAATGTTACATCTTCCTTTTTTTTGGAGGGGGGTCAAACTTTTTTCTTTAAAGAGTCCAAAATCAATCCGAATACATGGCAGGCTTTTTAATCACTCTCTCAATTCTAGTTCTTTGCTCACCATCCCTTGTTTCTGAGTTAGCAGAGAGTGGTAGTTGATTCTAACCTGTGCTCTTGAGAATATTTGTGATCATATTTTTACATCTGTTTTCTGTGCATTAACTCTTTGTTCTGTTCCTCTGGTAATATCTTCAGCAGCTGAACTGTTTTCTTTAGTGTCTGTAATTTTCTATTCTAAATACTATTCCTACTAATCTCAGTATGTTGTTATGTACAGTCAAAAGTCTTTAATCCGAACGTCCATAATCCGGACCAAAAACCTACAAACCTTCTGTGCATGTGTAAATGCATTATGCGTTTACGCATGTGCTTAATACCTTTACGCATGCGCATAATACGTTTACGCATGCGCGTTTAATGATTAATGGACGGTATAAGCTAAGCTAAAATTATATAATTATCTATTTCAGTTAATGTTGCAGGTTGCATTGTTCCTTAATCTTCTAATGGAATCCGGCTTATTATTTTTTGCAGACTGTTAGAGCAATTTTATAAAAGTAAGCTTTAACTTTCGAATATGTCAAAAAGAATTTCCAATTCTGGAGCTGCCAAAGGATCTACAAAGCAAAAGCATGTTTCAATGTCCATCAAACAAAAAGTGGAATTGCTGCAAAAAATGGATAAAGGTATATCTTCTGTTTCTCTAACCATTCCGAAATCTGTTTATCAATTTCAAGCTGCTCTGAGGAGGGACGTCACAGCGCGCAATGAACTGGAAGTTGATCTGTCAGCACTATCCTAATCTTCAGAGCAGATGTTTTTATTTTATTCGGCTTATAATTCCTTACTAAATGTAGTATTTCATCTCGATCTGCTCTGTCTTTGATATGATTTAAATCGAATTCCTCATCATTATAAATATCACGAATACACAACAGTTTTCTGGTTGCAATTTTCTAATTTTGACTATGCGTAGTGTATGCTTTATGCATGCGTGTGTTGAAAGAAATGTTTAATAAAGTAAACAAATAAATATTAAGCTTTTTTTTTGTAAATTTTGATACCATTTAGATCATAATTGCTCTTTATTTCAGAAATAACGGTTTTGTATTTTTAATTTTATAATTTCTGCATGCCATCTTACCAGATTTAAATTGATGATCTATAATCCAGAAAAACCGATAATCCGAAATCGCCGAACTCTGACGAGTCCGGATTAAAGACTTTTGACTGTAGTATGTATATAGATCTGGGCATCTTATATGCTTCTTCTACAGCTGTTGGTTTCCAGTCATTATCTTGATACACTATAGCACAAACTTCTTAATGATGGTAATGTTTTTGTATGGTATGCTTAGTTTTTTCTTAGTTGATTTTTTTCTTTTACGTTTTTGACATTTTGAAGTTTCAGTAATTCTGATTTAGGAAGAATTCTTCTTGTTCTTCTACTCATAAGTCATTGAGTTGGGGATCGTTACTTCTCATTAGTTGCAGTGTTCCTATGAGCTAACAACGCTAGTTGAGGATCAGCATGATCTGGTCGAGGTTTCTTTACCATTCGTACTGAATGCTGTGCTAATGCATTCAGTTGTGGATGGTAGGGACTGCTCTTTAAATGTTTAAATTGATATTTCTGGGCAAATTACGCAAATTCTTTTCTTGCAAACTGAGATCCATAATCAGCTATCACTATCAGTGGTATGCTATATCTTGCAAAATGAGATTTCGTATAACCAGTCACTGTCTGACTTGAGTATCAAGTAATTTGGAGATTTAAAAAAAATTGGAATATTAATATACAATTAATAAGTATTGTTAATCTCAAATAAATCTGTTCCAATTTTATGCCAAGGTAAATTAGGAACTTTTATGTGGTATCACATGTTCCTTTATAGTTCTGATATAGGTTCTAATATAGGTTAATAATTCTGATATTCTGATATAGGACATTTTGAAATTTTATCTTCTATGTGCTTGTTCATAAGTGGCCAAAAAGAAATATCTCTAGCTGTTTTCTTACATTTTTTTTTATCCCAAAGTGACCATCAAGAATTAAATTTAACATCTCTTTTTGCATAGATAAAGGGATAATTACCCTTTGAAAAATGTCATTTTTCCTTTGTCAA